GTGTAGAGGGTATATTTGGGGTTTATGTGTATTTTGTTTTTAGGTGTGGAGTGTGTGTAGTTATGTTTGTAAATATGGAAAGAGGGAGCATCTGTTTGTGTTTTGAGGGAATATTCACACAATATATTGTGGGACCATGAGTGAATCCTTTAGTGAATCAGCCTCGTTATGTGAAAAAAGCTAATGACACAAACAGGGGGCAGCTGCTTCATCAACTGCAAATGAGCATGGAAGGTGCACAATGGGAGTGTGACTTCAATAGATCCACAATACAATACAAATGCACAGGGAACCCTTCCAGCCAATAAAGAGGACCTGTCTAACCGGCTTCTACTTGTAAATATAAAGTCAGGTCTCTGACATGACAGGTCCCCTCTGCATTTTTATAACCTAGACCCCTGTTTTTATTTTCTTTTTTTTTTAAGCAAGTAAATTTTTATTGCAATTTTTATGGCAATACAGAAGTGTAAGACATAGATTAAAATAAGACTCCTAATAAAAGGAGTCAACATAGTACTTGAAAAATTAAACAATGCATTGAAAACATAACGAAATTACAAAGCTATATAATCTCATGTCAGGGACCTAAGCCATTTTATACCAAAAGTGTGTAAATTGACAGTTACAGTCCAAATTCCAGAATATTTGATGTATGGGTAACAATTTACACTTGTAAGAACTTGAACTCGGAATCACGTTAGATAAGTCTCCCAGTCATGTCAGTGTTCTGTCAAATATCAGTTCACTCCGTCATCTAAACTTCGGGGTTTCTAAATTCTCTAAATTCTCTGAGCTCCGCCTCACTATGGGCGGCATGAAGGGAAGTTCAGGCTGACAGGTCCACTTTAATAAGCCCGTCACTAAAATCTGTTACTGGCCTTTTTATATCTAGAAGAGGATTTGAATTTGGTGTCAGAGGATTCCCCGAAGTCCTTCAAACATCCCAAAAATAATGAGACAAAACAAACTGACTATTTAATTTTTCATGTTCTCTGAGTATATATTGCCCTGGTGTAAACTGCAGTCACATGATGAAGAAAGGAAGAAAGAAAGAAAGAAAGAAAGAGAGAGAGAGAGAGGGGGGAGGAGAGAGAGAGGAAGGAAGAAAGGAAGGAAGGAAGGAAGGAAGGAAGGAAGGAAGGAAAAAAAGATTCCTATAAATGCAACTGGTAAAACAGATTCCTATAGATGCAACTGGTATTGAAAAGAAAAGGAAGGTAGGAAAGAAGATTCATACAAATGCAACTTGTATTGAAAAGAAGGAAGCAAGGCAGGATTCCTATCAATGTAAATGGTATTCAAAAGAACAGTAAAAAAAAGAAAAGGAAGGAAAGAAAGAAGGAAGGAAGGAAGGAAAAAAAATTCATACAAATGCAACTTGTATTGAAAAGAAGGAAGGAAGGAAGCAAGGAAAAAAAAAGATTCCTATAAATGCAACTGGTATTGAAAAGAAATGGAAGGAAGGAGAGAGACAGGCTGTATAGGTGTGGCTGGGTGTCTATAAGTGTATGTTTAGTACTACCCATACCGACATTATATATATATACATATATCCTGAACAATCACGTGCCCCGAAATGCAGAATAATAATGATGATGATGATGAGATGGGGGGCGGGGTTCCTCTATCACACACGATAGGGGACAATCTATAGTTCTGATATCTCTGCGGTCATATTGGATTCTTAGTAACAATCTACAACCTTCTATAATAGTCGGCTGTCTGCAGGTCTGTGAAGGTCTGATGATGCCCCTCAAATTTGTGAGTGATTGCGAGTACAGACGAGGTGACGGATCGTCCATGTCACTGTCACGCATCGTCAGTATTTATCACACAGAGGCAGAACGAACGCTCGTCGGGCAATACGTCGGAAATTAGTTATTGTAATTACATTGAATTAGTTTAATGAGTGAATTATTTTCCTGAAAGCTGTAGGAGAGACTGCAAACATTTGTTAAGATCTCACCCCCCGAGTGGGGGGGCGATCAGGAATCAGGACCGCGCCTGTGCACAATCTGACCCGACGCGACAGATCGGGGAGATTTCTATATAAACTGGCCTCTGTCTGTGGTCATGGCGGAGAGCAGGTGACCCGCTGCCCGGGGCTGGAATAATCCCAGCAATCCCTATGTGTGATCACACTTTGGAATCAGAGGATAAGGATCTTATTAGGAAACACTGACAAAACGTCACTTCATGGCAGACACGGGGGCCCAGAGCAGCGCCTGTTAAAGCCTGTAACGCCCTTCCCGGACTTTTTATACACAGTTATTTGCTTTTGTAGCATTTTTAATAACCAGAAAAGACAAGGGGTCGGGTCACACTGTTGTAGACATCCGACAACGGATACAATTAGAACGGAACGAATACAATTCAATGACAGCGTTCTCAGCGTTGTATTTGAAGCTGTTACATAACAAATGAAGTTTGTTGTATTTTGCACCTTTTTTTTTCAGAAACGTATGTTAATTATATGATGATAATAATAATACAGCAGCATTATCCAGCCAGCGTCACCAGGTATATAATCATTACAATATCCAAATCTTCCATCGATCCTTCCGACCACACACAGAGGATCCATCACATTACACTTGTTACATTGTCAGATTCCTGTTTCCTTTTACATCACACCGATCACACCGGGCGTTTATCTTTCTTTTATATGACTGTTTATAACCAGATAATAGATTTATATCAGCAGATACAACCAGAGAGTGCTCCTATATACTCCTATATACTTCTATGTGCTCCTATATACTCCTATGTGCTCCTAGATACTTCGATGTGCTCCTATACACTTCTATGTGCTCCTATATACTTCTATGTGCTCCTATATACTTCTATGTGCTCCTATATACTTCTATGTGCTCCTATATCCTTCTCTGTGCTCCTATATACTACTATGTGCTCCTATATACTACTATGTGCTCCTATATACTACTATGTGCTCCTATATACTTCTATGTGCTCCTATATACTACTATGTGCTCCTATATACTTCTGTGTGCTCCTATATACTACTATGTGCTCCTATATACTTTTCTGTGCTCCTATATACTACTATGTGCTCCTATATACTACTATGTGCTCCTATATACTTCTCTGTGCTCCTATATACTTCTATGTGCTCCTATATACTACTATGTGCTCCTATATACTTCTGTGTGCTCCTATATACTACTATGTGCTCCTATATACTTTTCTGTGCTCCTATATACTCCTATGTGCTCCTATATACTCCTATGTGCTCCTATATGCCCCTATGTGCTCCTATATACTCCGATGTACTCTTATATACTCCTATGTACTTCCATGTACTCCTATATACTCCTATGTACTCCTAGGTGCTCCTATGTACTAATGATACAAAGTGGCGGGGGGTGGGGCAGATCATTATAACACTTTATTTTTGCATCAGCACACATATAACAGAAGATGAGGGACTCTGATCCCCCTTATTATAACATCTGTTCTGCATCAGAATGTGTTACAGAACCCAGAGGAAGAGAATCATCACCCCGCCAGATACCTTCATTTATATACTATCATAGAATAATACGAATATAGAGCGAGAACAACAATCCTGCCATGAAGGGGGCTTCTATCGGGACATACAAAGGGGCTTAATTACTAAAACAAAGCACTGGGTCT